TCAGTAAGGCGTGTTTGAAAGGTCAGAATTCCTACGCACAAATCAGATCGTTACTAGATTAGTATTAATCTGAATGTCGGTCAAGGCAAACACGAACCTTATTTATGGAAGTGACCTGTTAAATTTTGTACACACTAACACTGGTAACACAACACCACTACGCAATCAGAAATTCTACTTCCAAAAGAGCTAACTCTAAAACACGTATTATTATATTCTATTTTGTATTCGTTTGTGAAACAAAATGTTCAATACCGATTGTTAATTTCGTCATAATCCGCTCCCACATCCAACGGGGCACACTTAATCGATTTCGATCAAAATCTGTACTGTATACTTAATATTTTTGAATCACTTGGATTTTATTTTAATTAGGAGAATTTTAAGAGCCTCTTTAATTACGGCTTAAAGCAGCTTACACATTTAGACTGCCTTTTTGGGTCTTTGGCTGGGTTTTAATAAACCCATGTCTAGGTTAGTCATATTATATCAATAAAATCATTAACCTGATATAAAGGTATAAATAAAAGTTAGGTATTCATGAGGAGTCCAGAGCTTATAAAAAGTCAAAGATACCACTGATCGTACTTGATGGATCTTCTTTATTAAATAACCGTGTTTTCTAATAACTACCATTACTGCTATTCTCTTCCAAAATTTATTTGGTGATTGTGCACGACTTTATTTTTACTAATGTGAATGATCTGCGGTTTCGCTTAGTTATTATTTCTGTTTTCACTGGCTTAAAAGTAAAAATAAGGTTTTTCGGAAAGCAGATATTCCCGTCAAATGTGATTATTCTTTTACAGATTATGGTACTGTTATCATAACCAGCTTAGGGCTACAAGAAATATGTCGAATCTTTGTTTTACATTAAAATACGTGATTTTCAATGACAGACTAGGGTGAAAGGTTAGCGACACTTGGAGGTTTGTTATATCCTCCTGTACAGATATGTAGCTGCAAGCCTAACACTACTTCATTTGATGTAGGCTGCTTCGCGACATGAAAGTTTCCAGGGATTCAAAATGCCCAAAAAATAACGGGAACCGAATTACGAAACCCTGAATACAAAATGTCTTGTTCCTTATTTATTTTCTGAGAGAGAGAGGGGGGACTTTTCCATTCCGTCGTCCCTGACCCTCGTCCGTTCATCCTTTACTGTCTTCCCTCTACTCGAGAAATCCATTTGCAGTAGTGTGAAAAGAAACATGTTTCTTTTCATGCACTCAAAACATGTTGGTATCTGCTAGTATGCTAGAAGTGTTAACGCCCGCACATTTCCAAAATAACAACCATCCACATAAGCTTCCGTTAGAATTTCTGCCCCATTACTGGTAGTTCTCATGCTGAATCACATTCCTCTACAAATTGATGGAATATTTGCATTCCTCAGTCTTATTAAAATTGTTAGGAATGTTTCTAAGTATGTTATTATTACTGCAACCAAATTCTAATTGTGCCGAGTTTGGAATCAAATTAATTCGAACACCTAACTCTACATTCAAAGCATTTTAATGCCTTATAGATGCCGGTTAAATAAAGAGTAATTGCCGTATAGCTTTATAGTCGTTGTTAACAATATTGAATAAAATATTATGCAGGTGATACATAAGCAGTTAAGTGGCTTTCTTAGTCACTTCTCAATAAATATGGGTCGCGCCTCTAAAATTAAGATACTTGATCTTCCTTGCATTTCTAAACTATTCACAACCATACTTTACACTGAATCGATAGTGTAACCCAAAAACTTCTTTTGACCTCAGACTTCAGACTTCATCTCTTAGTGTCCCATAACATTTGAAATTGTAATCCTGTATACTACAAAGCAATTAACAGTAATTTCCAATGTATACCAAGTTGAAATCTTCGACGAATGTCACGGACAGATTTGCTGGCATAAATAAGGTTAATTTGGCTACAGTTTCGTTAAAGTAATTACCAACATTTCTGGACTATTTGGTTCTCTTTGTATGTGTTACGGCACTGAGTAGTCCTTGTGTTCTTAGATCGAGCTATAACGTAGCCGCTGATTCTTTGTTGAATAACAAAATGTTTAGAACTGTCAGTTACATCTGTCGTTCTAGATGCCATTTACTATCATCAGCCAGTGAATGTAAGCCTATTGCCTTCGGCAAATGCCATGAAGTCTTGTTCACTGCAACAGTCGAATAGAATTCTCGTTTACTCATTTTGTATTATAGCGACAAACATTTATCTGAACGCCAGTAGTCTATTATGTAGTGTGATATATATTTAGAAAAGCGAAGCAAACTTTGCCTACTCGTTTACTCGGCAGAAAATCACTTAGATTAGAGAGAAGTTTCCACACTATATTAGTATTCAGTCTAAAACCGACTATAGATTAACGTTCTGGACAATATGGGTCTGCTGTGTCTCCTTCCGTGTTTTGAAGGAAGTGCTGACAGCAGAGATATTTAAAATTTGTCATATAAGTAAAACATTAATTCTGACGGATATTTCTTATAATATGTATAATGTCTACTGATACCAAATAAAAGTTTTTAAATTGCATTAATAAGTTGCCTGAATGTGTGGTAATAAAAATCAAGATTTCAGTGCTCCTTATACAAAATCCTGCAATCATTGGACGTCATCCTAAACCACTTCATCCACCTCTCATCACCAAAACCTAATTCCCTAATAGCAGTCTTAAATGTTGTCCTCCCATTTATTTCTTGGTCTTCCAAAGGGGCATTATCCGAGAGGTTTCGACGCCGAAATTCTGTGCATTCTTTACTGTTTTCATAACTTCCCAACTATTGTATAATTTCACCAGAATGAATAAATTATGTTCATTACAATAAAGTTAATGACTGTTATTGGTATGTTATTTTCCGTCACACGTTTGTATTCCTAGAGACCCTTAGCCTCTGAGGTCTTATCCTAAATAGTCCAGTTTTGTATGTTTGTAAGTTTTACAGGTTAGAATTTGTTCGTCAGTGGCTAACACAGATTTTGTGCTAGTTCCCCCGAACTGATAGATCAAATAATGCTAAGTAATATCTACACTTTTTACCCATATTCTTACAAATTGTTAAACTGAAATTACAGACGAACCCTAGCCAATGAAACTAGGTTGCACGCACAGAAACGGGAATGTAGCGTGTTGTGAGAAAAGTAGACGGAACCCAGGAAATGGCTTTCAGTGCACGACACCAAGGGACGCGTACCTTCTCACCCCCTCCCCCATCCCACAGGTAGCTGTCTTCGCTTCTGCAAGCACTAGCTGTAGAAAGAATTGCATTGATATTTGGAACGGGTCTGGACCAATACACATTGATTTGAAAACGTGACCTGCATCTCATATGCATTATGTCAACTTTTTTCAATTCCCTTTCTTTGGTGTCGAAATAGAACGTATGTTCTCGTCCCATGCAGTTAAGTGGGGCTGCACTATAGGATAAAGGAAGGATAGAAATGCACAAAAGTGGGTAGTGGAACCCACTATTTTATCGTAATGTGTGAGATAACGTATAATCATAGAACGTTTGTACACGGTTAGAATTGTTACTGGTTAATTAAATACTAATTTATTGTCAACATCCTTTTTCCGGCAGGATTAAAACTTTAAATTTCGCTCTTAAAGTGTCATATTTTTAGGGTATTTTCGCGTTTTCATTAGTAAGTAATTTCCCTTTAAGCTATTGTTCAAACATAATACGTAATTGTATCATTTCCATCTATTTCTAAAACGTGGAGTTCAAACGTATCAGCCAGGTGTAATATGTGTTCATCATTTTCTGTGTAAAATAGTTTCCAAAAAAATGAGTTTCATTGTTCCAAGAAACGCGACAGACTTAAACAGCGGAGCTTTAAGAACACCTGATAACTTGTGGACGATGCCGGTGGCTAGATTGCAATGTATTTGTACCCTGCGGTAAATACAACGTATGCTTGATGCTCTGTGCTTTACATGAGGTAATGCATTCTGGGGATGAGTTCCAGGCCATATATGTAAAACAAACTGAATTCAAATTTTATATGGCCCCGTTTTAATCTCGTGGTACGGCCTATATAGCAGGACATCACTAACCCCGCGACCCCCCTCTCTTCACGCCGACACATTTCACATTCAAATCCATGCCATGGTTTCTAGGCAGTGGAATGATGAAGGGTGGAACGGTAGCCTATGTTTTAGAGAACAAGCACCCCCTCCCCCTCTTTTCCATTCTACCGCCGCCCAACGTCATGATTAAAAGTTCCGGTTACCTCTTTTCATTTCACACGTATCGTGCAACCTAGGGAAGTAACCGTTATGTTACGGGACGGAATGAACGCGTAAAGCATTGTCAACATTTTGAAAATTTTCCCCGTTTGGGGGATTACTTGTTGTGGAAATAACGCGAGAAGGATTTCATGCAGATATTTCA